TGCCATCATAGACAATTGAGCTCCAATCTGTGCATATGTTTGTTCCAAGTTAGAATGGTAGGCTTAAGACATAAGACTCTAGAAAGATCTTGAAATCATATATGCCCCTGGAACAGTTTAAGGCTAAATTTAGCCTGGTTAGAATGTGATGAACATGAAGTTCACCATGTAATAACAACATACTCCTTCCAAAAATTCCAACCAATGACCCACTAGAGAATAGATGCGAATAGCCCTTCCTTACTTTTGAGTCAACTTCTAGCCACCAAGGCACTTAAGTTTTGTTTGATATAAATGCCAGGCTGTGAAGGTCTGGATTGTAGCATGATTTCCCTAAAATATGACCACACCTAAGATATTATGGGGCGTTGGAATAAATAAATGATCAGTGTTAGTTGAGGCCTTTGAGTAGAAAAAAAACATGGAATGTAGTGAGACACTAAACATGCAGAGAATTTGAGGAAATGGGAGGATATTTTCCACATATTTTTTTATACAAAGTGGTTTCTTGGGGTGCCAACTGTGAGTTGATCGGAAGGTTGAGAATTAGTGAGATCCGGTGTCCTCAAAAGCAGAAGCAAGTCTTAAAGAACCATCATCAGAGGGTAACCAACTAGAGATCCATTAAGAGCATATTAAACCAGTTCTGACAAATCAATCATGGTTGGAATGCATAAGACTAGACCTCCAAATGAGCATATCACACGTTTAATGACAAATTCATTACGGTACATCGGTAGTGAGGGAAAAGCAAAACAAAAGTATATATAAAAAGACCAAATATACATGTGATTCCTTGCAAAAATCAAACACACATGCGATCAATTGCTTGCAAACCTTGGAGGATGGAAGATAAACTGGGATGTTTTCGTTTCTCCGCTTTTGCAAAATCAAAATCGGAAGAGGTTGGATAGGACTTATTTGAAATTTTAAACCTACTTTTACAAGAAAGTTCAGGTGGAATAAGTGACCATTCAAATCTTGCCAATTGTGAAATGCACCAAAACATTACACAAAGCGGGGGCACCATAAAAATAGTCATTTCTTATTTATACTCTTTAGTGATGGATCAATATTGGTGAAGCTATAAGAGTAGTAAATTTAGCTCAAAACTCAAGTTCATTGTCATTTTTGCGTTGGCAATATAACTTGTTGTAGCAATAATCGGAAAAACGTCAAAACAAAACCTGATTCAGCAAATTCAGCCGAATCATCTATTTCTGCGCCACCGAACAGGCTAAAAGTATCACAGCGTTGTACTATCTATCTAGTCTTCCAATTGGGGATGCCTAATTCAAACATACCTTCTTCAAGCGCGCCCAAAAGATGGCAAATCTTTCTAGGCTTAAGTGCTTATACATAGATCGATATTTGATCTTATTTTGAAGCATAAACAATATAGTATCAAAGTATCATAGTGTTTGATTGTCTATCTAGCCTCCCCGTTCAAGATTCTACTGGCATCAAACTCAAATAATTTTTCAGTCTTCACCATTTAAATTTTCTATTTCTCAATTTCAGGAGTAGTGGATTGGGGTTTTCAACGGGTCATTGAGGTTGTTGGCAGATTGGGGGATTGTTTGAGACAAATTCTACTCTTGGGGTTCTAGTTAATGAGTATTTGTTAGCTTAGCTTCTTAGTTCTTATACGAATGTGTTGTATAACATTGGAAGAGAAGATGAATGATAAATGATAATAGAGGAAGTAATTACAACCTTGCAGGCGAACAAATTGAATATGTATATGCATCTACATGAAATACGCACAACAAAAAATTAGAGATGAAGACACCTACCTTTTGGATTGAATGCCGGATTTTCGTTCATCCCGCCTTTTCCCTGTTTCTTGACCTCAGGCCAAGACGTCTCTCGCAGCCTTCTTTCAGATATAAGTTGCAGGCTGGATTATTCTTTCACCGTAGAGTGGGTGAGGTTCAGGAATGGGAAGGATCTCTTTGCAAAAACACGTTTTTTTAATTAAAAAACTGAGGTGGATTAAACTACCAATCATATGCTGCCAAATATGGGATGTATCAAAACATTCCTCAAATCATATGCACCGTAAAATTTTCCTTATTTATAAACTTATATTTCATCTATTTTAACGTTTATTTATTGTAACACCATTTAAAACGTAATATGCCACTTTTACACTATGCCTAACCCATTTATATGAAATGATACACGGTAAATCGATAATATTATTGCATTTTTTCACGGGTATCAATAAACAAGGTTACATGCATCTAGCTACACATTAATCACATACTCGAATATTTTATACTTCTTCCGTCCCGAAATGGTTAGCCAAATTTTCCTTTTTGGATGTTTAAAAAAGATTTGTCATTTCCATTTAAAGTAAGGAATATGTGGCTAAAGTTAATTATCTCTCTTTTGCACAAATTTCAACCACACAGTTTTTACTTTATTGATCCACGTGGAAGTCAACTTTGACCAACCTTTTCGGGACGGAGGGAGTATGTAACCGTATGAACTGCGTTTACAAATGCTTATGTGGGGGCGGATCCAGAAAATTCATCTTGGGGGGAGGGGTTCAAAATGTTTTTTGGGAGGCGAAAATTAATTTTTGAAGGGGTGAAAATTATTTTTTGTATATATATACACTATTTTTCTGTTGGGGGGCGGTAAACCCCCTGGATCCCTACTACGGTCCGCTCGTGTGCGTATGGTCTATTGCATAGAGTTACATCATCCTTGCTCAATCTCAAAGAATATTCCTAGTTTGCGAAATTCTAGTTGTTCCAAAAGGTGGAATCGCCCACTCCGACGCCCTCACACCCTGACCCGACAGAATGGTGAAGGGGTAACTGACGGTGACTCAGTCAGCCCATAGTGGTAGGCCTTATACCCGGGCGCACAAGAGGTCCAGCCCAGCACACACGAGCTGTAACCTCCACACGGCCGTTACGGGTTTCGAACCTTGGTCATTATTCCAAATTTCCCGCCACTCAACCAACTGAGCTACCTGTGCGGGTAAGTTTGCGAAAATCCAAGCTGGACCTCTTCATTCTTTAGATTTACAAACACAAGCCCCAAAACTACACTTATTCAGACATCCTTCTTTAGCAATTCGATACTAATTCAATTATTTCAATAATCAAACTATACAAATTTGCTACTCAATTGTCTAAATTTGCCACTTCAGATTTAGGATGTTTTCTTCTGGACTGAAATTTGCTGGTCTGGTCTGGTCTTATCTGGTCTGGTCTGATCTGATCTGGTAAACATTTGGTCTGTGTGTATTTTATAACTACGGAAGTCTGGTCTGGTCTGATCTGGTCTGGGACTAAAAACAGTCCAAAAGAAAGCGTCGTTAGCCTCTTCACTTCCGAATCTCGCCAATAGCTAGAACAATTAAATACAAGATTTGTTGTTGATTTCTGAGTTAATAGATCACTCTGCTTCCTATTACGGTTGAACTTGTAGTCCTAAGAGCATCTCCAATGGTTAGCTAAATATGTTGTAGCTTTGCTTGCCACATCATTTTTTCTAGCTAATCCATTTTCAAGCAATGTGATAGTCCAATGGTTAGCCACAATGCTTGTCTCTTGAATAGGCCCCACAAATTAATCAATTTTAAAAATACACATTTTGAGTGAATTAATTTATTAATATAATAAAAAATATTAATCAACTATGACTTTGACCAAACATTAATCCAACGCCCAACACGGATGAAAATGCATATTATTAAAATCAGAAAAATAAATGTACTACCTCCGGTTTTTATTAAACTTCACACTCTGACTTCATACAAAATAAGGAAAGAAATTTGACTTTACTGTAGAGTACACTGTTGAGGCACTGTTTGACACTGTTGAGACACTGTTTGGCACTGTTGAGACACTGTTTGACATTGTTTAGCACTGTTTCGATGTAGATTTCTTTGCCAAAAAAGGAAATAAGGAAGTGTGAAGTTTATTTTAGACCATCCCAAAAAGGAAAGTGTGAAGTTTAATAAAAACTGACGGGAGTATTTGTTAAGTAAAAAAAATAAGGATATGCGAATTATAATATCCACGATGATCATGCATTCCTTTATTTGGTGGAAATGAAAAATTTGTATCATAACATCGATGATATTGATTGGCATCTCTTCTTAGATGAAAATTTTGGAAAATTGGCTGGACTGTAGGAATTATTGGGGTTGATATATGGGAGGTGAAATTTTGAGAGTTTGGATTTTCGGTGCTTGAAGAGTTTTTCAGAATGGTGTAATACTTGTTGTATAGGTTTTCATAGTCCTCCATTTGAAGAGTACACTAACTTTTAAAACCATTCGGTATATATAATTAAGAGGAAGAGATTGAAATCACTTTTAATTTGGAACTTGATCGTTGTATTAGAATGTTTTCTTTTGGACTGTTTTCAGTCCCAGACCGGACCAGACAAGACTTAAACAGACCAGACCGGACTTAAACAGACCAGACTTCATAGTTATAAAATACACAGGGACCAGACGGGTTTACCAGACTAGACTGGACCAAACCAGACTTAAACAGACCAGATCTGACCAGACCAGCAAATTTCAGTCCAAAAGAAAACATCCTTACTCACTTTACCGTTGCATAATTAATTAATATAGTATATCAATTACAAATAAATTAAATATATTTGATACTTACCATTTTAATACAAGTTTCTCTCCTTTCTAACAATTAGCTTGTTTTGGCTAATTTGTTTGTCCAAGCTAGAAACAAAGATGCACTCCAATGGTGGGCTAATAGCTTCAAAATTGCAAGCAAGTCCCTAGAAGCAACCATTGGAGATGCTCTAAAGTACACAACTAGTTTCTTGCTTAGTACATTTCTTCAAATGGAATCACAGGTTCTTTCCTAAAATGAGAAGTTTTATTTGTTTTATTCTATTATTAGGGCTAAATTATGACCAATTAGTTTTTATTGTTAATCAGGTTTCTTTCCAAGAGCCAAAGTTCTGGATGTCAAAAGGCACAAATAATTGTCTTTTTCCATGCTGATCGGGTTTTCTGAAGTAAAAACGTTATTTAATACGTACACATTTTAAGTAAATGCAATCACAGGTTTCTTTCCAAGAGCCAAAGATCAGGGTTTCTCAAGTAATACTACGTACAAAAGATCCAATTATGATCATTTGTGCTTCATATTTGTACAAATGGAATAATGATAATAATTAAAATGTTTTTCTACATAAGAGTTGGGCAAACTTGTTTTACTATATACGGAGTAAAACAAGAGCCCGATAACTATACATCTAGTCTAGTAAGAATTAGTTTGAGACCTAGTCTTCTTCGAGAGGAGCAATGTTGAGAAGAGCCATGATTTGGGATCTTGAAAAGCTATGCCGATTTTTAAGGACATCGATGTAATTCTGAAGCCTATACCGATCTGTGTTTGTGAGGGAGAAGGGAGGGTTTAGGATGAGAGACGATGCTTCGACTTGAAGGAATGTTAACAACTGCACTGCCTTTGAATAAAACACTATTGCATTTTCTGTTCTGCCCATGTATTCGTCAACCTGCCCATTCCAATAAGTCGAACCTAAATATTCACTCAAGTAGCTGTTTGGGGACTTGGAAGATATTTATTAAGGTTACAAAGAAGAGGGTATGGAACACTTCACTTACAGCCCCTTTCCTTCCCATTTCTAGAGCAGATTGGAATATTATCTCCATTGCATCTGGCACATCAGTGTTTCCTGAACTCCATGTATAGAAAAAACTATTCAATAAAAAGGTGCAAATAAATAAGTTTTCCACTCCACGAAATTTAATAAACAAATAACTAGTTAGCCATGGAGAAGTACCGTTGAGAACACATTTTTTCTAGAAAACAGAGTCCGATAAGATTAAACAAAGCAAACTACTCATGTAGTTGTATCACATTTAGAGACCGCTTGATGACCCTTTTTCTGTCTTATCAGTCTTATCACCCATTTTTTTTAACAAATACTACATTTTGTAATAATCAAAATAAGCAAGACTGAAGTTATGGCTGTATTTGCTCAAAAAGACTTTTAGATTCTTTTTCATATTGTTTTCTTTATTTAATTGATAAAATATGTTTTATTCTTTTTAATAATTCAGTTGATTAAACCAATTCAACCATAATTTCAGCCAGCTCGGCCAATTTCAACGTTACCAAAAGGGCTATTGGTTAAGAAATAACGACAACTATATTAACAAATAATAGCCATAGACAATATTAAGACCCCTTTAATACAATGTGACTATATTTGAAGGGTGCAGTGATTATGGTAGCAATGAAAGTGACCATTGAGTTATATTTTTGTACTTAGATACCATTGGACTGATATTTTGAGAAAATCTCTTTAGTTAAATTTAAAATATATAAAGGGACGTAGCCCCAAATGGGTGAATGAGATATTAAATATACCAGGCTCCACAAATTTGGAAAGTTCGTCTGCATTCTGAACTTCACTTAGAAATGATCTTTCAATATGAAAGCAGATATCCTGTGATTCCAACGTGTTAGAAGCATCAACCGGATATTGCATATTTAGAAGACCATGACCATGTTTAGTAGTAGCATGTGGTGTTGGGCTTCCTTCAACGGCTGATGCTGCTTGAGCATGACATATATGTAAAGCTTGCTTCCATATTGCAAGAATGACAAGCTGAACCGAAAATGCGTCCAAATGTTTGCCTGCCTCCGACTTTTCAAAATGATGCAGAAAATTGTAGCAAATATTACATTGTAGAAAGGGTGATATTTTACAAATAAGCAACAATTATTAACATATATAGGAAATGTTACTGCTTACTATCCAACACTTAATGGATGCATTGACACAAATAGATAATTGTTCCTACCAGAGACTGCACATAAGCTGACTCAATACTTTATATTACTTCCAAACAGAGTAGTGATTTACCTTCTCATTTACTAATTGTGAGATAGCAGTAGCGCAATGCTGTAATGACTCAATCCTCCTCATGCAATCAGTTGATGGTTGCTCGAAGCTGTCTAAAATATCCACTGATCCTTGTAATGTACCATGAGCAGATGTGTTATGTCTATCAAGACTTCCTGCACAACCTACTTTATTAATCGCAGGACCTATAATGGGCACTGGGGCACTTGATCTGGAGTACACATTCTCTGGAGCGTGTGGGCTACAGCCTGATGTCAATGGCATATTTCTAGGGTTAGATGCATCAGCTGAAAATGATGAATCCACTGGGGGCCCAGAAACAATGACATAACCTTGATCAATCAACTCCAGGGAACTTGTCACTGTTAATCCATGTGAGTATGTAATTATTAGAGAAATTGAAAATGCACAACTTTACCAATGTAAACAATGACCCATTTGGTAAGATTTAATCTTCTCAAATTGCTAAAGTGGTGGCTGAGTCTACTGAATTGTCAAAAATGGATCAAGCAAAAAATATATATTTAAATAAAACATAAATAATCAGCTGAGTGCCTGAATATACTAAGTTGAAAACATATATATTTAAAAATAAAAATAAAAAAAATACTCCATATATCTAATTATCAAGGAAAATGGATCAATTTCAGCAATATATATTCACTGTTTTTTAATTGTCGATTTATTTGAACTACTTTTTATAAATTATCAGCCGATTCATCTAGGCAGCAACCATAGTCAGTGTTTGGAAGTACAGCTGACTCAGCTGACTGATAAGGCTGATCTCAAGTCCATCAAATCGGCCCTTGAAGTGAAATTAATATTTTAATAATTGCATTTAATTAAATCAAGAAAAACAAAATTTATTAATTATTATTGCAAAGGTGAGCACCTTCTTGATTACTAACTGCTGGTCTATGTTGGGTGGAGTTATGAGATTCTTTCAGGTTTCCTTCTGAAAGATAATGATTGCCAACACTAAATGCAGTGCTATCTCGCTTGAATGTGCCACCATCGCCTATGAAGGTTGGATCAGGTAACATGGGAGCATTGAAAGCATTCCCCCCTTTATAAGCATTTGCATCATCAGGATAATTATATGGAGATTTTTGTTGTAATCTCCCAGAAAAAGATTGATTGACATCAGTACCACTTGAATCATCATCAAGCTTAAAGGGTAAGCAGTCTTCCTGACTTTCATCCGCACTTGCTGAACTGCATTGGGATAGAGGAAACCCATCTATTTTCTTCTGTGGTCTCCAAATTCTGTGTGTCATAATGAGTTTCATAGTTTGTTGAAGGAACATACTCTTATGTCTCAAGATACCGAGAACTAAAAGTCACCACTTAATTATATACCTAAAAATGTCATCTGGTTGTTTTGTTGCAAGAAATGGGTGGTTAAAGAACTCTTCAAATGTCAAACGTTCCACTACAAAAAGGGAAAGAATTAGAACAGACAGGATGTGTAGTATTTCACACTGCCCCAAAACAAACATAATTGTCATGTTCAAGAACATTTTTGTTCTGAAAAAGACAACATTCATTTTTAAGTAAATATGAAGCAAGCTGTCAGCATGTACCGTATTTTAGTTGATTAAAGGTGTATTGATTTCTTTAAATAATCAGCATAAGTATTGAACTTGATATATTGTTATAGTAATAATTGTTTTATTGAGAAGGTGAGGATGGGTAAGAAATTTAATCTCATTACGAAAAAAGAAATAGAATAAGGGAAATATGTGGCTACGAGAGGGCCAATGGCCTGCTGATATCACAAAATATTGGTTGGCATACCTGGATTGCGGCGCAATAATTTTTTACATAAATCTATGCACTCATCACTTAAATTATTTGCATTGGAAGGAAACTGCAATTCGCTAGATTTTACTATGTTCTGAAGCAACTGCAAGACAGCATTTGGAACAAGATGATCGACATTAAAACATGCTCAGTTATATTCAGATTGAAAAACACCAAATTAAGAGCACTTTACTGCAGCAAAGTAGATGATCATCATACCTGTATTTGATTGTTTCCTATAAATGGGGTTCTACCAGTTACAAGCTGAAATAGAATGGCACCAACACTCCAGAGATCTGCCTGTGTGTGTAGCTCAATGTTAATAGGAGATTAAGAAGACCATGAATGTAAAGTTTGCACTGGGTGAATTGCACCTTAGCATCATATTTCTGGAGTTGCATAATTTCAGGAGCCATGTATAGTGGTGAACCACATAAGGTCTCTGCAAGGCCCCTTGGTTGCAAAGACCTGCAAAAAGATAACACATTGTTAAGCTACTTTATGGATGATATTTGAGAAGTTATACAACCTATATTGGAGCAGAGTCTACGAAGAATAAAAGTTAAGTGTCGTGAATGTTTCTAGAATAAATGCGAAATGGAGAGAGAGAATCAGATGAATAAAACTGCAAAGAAACACATATTTGAATTTGAGAGAGAAAACGGGCATCCTTGCATAAAAATCGATTTATATGCGAAGTGATAAGCAAATCAGATGAATAAAACTGCAAATAGAAACATTTGAATTTGAGAGAAGACAACTGGCATCCTTGCAGAAAAAAGATTTATTTATTACTCTAGTAAATATTTTTTTTTTTGAAAAAAGGATGTGATAACTATAAGGAAGATTTGAACAATGCTAGATACACATAACACACATATATATCCATAATTTATTATTACCTCCATCCCATTCAAAGGTTCCCATTGCAAAATGGCAGAATTATTTAGACAATAATTAAATATGCTAATTCGAGTATATTTTGGGAAATAATTTTGATGGGTATATAATATAATGGATTATAAATGATAACTGTGATGTTATAGATGTATTATTTTTACTAATGATGATTAAGTTGTTATTTAAGAATGTTGTTTTTATATGAGAACCTTTAAGTGGGACGTCAAAAAAGGGAAGTGGGAACTTTTGAATGGGACAGAGGGAGTAATTGTTTTTATACCGTTCTCCAAAGAGAAGATATAATAGACCTACCTTATGAGAAGAATGCATGTTACTTTTGCTCAACATTTAGGATAGATGCATTGGGCTAGTCAAATGAGATAACAAGTTTACCTTGCAAATCCAAAATCAGCGATCCTCAAAACAGCATTATCATCATTTACTGACAAGAGTAGATTCTGTTTCAGAAATGACATGTGTTACTAAGATATGGTCATTTTCAACAAGAATATCAATCACGTCCTCTTGCCTAATGAAATGATTTTTTAATGGGAAGACTCCATTTCATATATGATAGATGCTCCACAAAAATAATACACCGTAACAGAAACAGTATATTGAATAGGATTTCTGAAGAACTTCAGAATCCCTTAGAACAGTAATGGCAGAACGTAAATGAAATGCAGAAAATAATGAGACAGATCCAACTATCCAAGAGTGCCTCCACTTCTCAACTTCTGCCTCCCTTCTCTCTCCTTTCAGTTTCCATTAATAATACTCTCTCACCTGACGTGGCCCCCTCCGCCTCAAGTCGGTTAAAATTCTCAGTCCCCCTTCACATATACACTTTCTCAAAATATTTAATATTATTCTCATTATAATTCCTCTTGTCCTGACTACTCGAGTCTATCAAAATATCTTTGACAACCAATGATATTTGATTATTTGAATTGTGTCTAAGCATATAATCAGTGCCCGTAAGCTCGAGCATTTACTTTTATATTACTCTTTCTCAATAGCAGAAAATGATATCTCCTCTATACCTCTAATATGGAATTACAATCACATAAACAGCTAAGTAACTAACTTTCTCATCATGGGTGATTTTTAGAGTATGTACACTTCAAGTACACGCATACAACAACAACATCCAAGCCTTAGTCCCAAAAGATACTTAGTACTTCAAGTACACACATACACAAAACTAATTCTTGAAGTGCGAAAAAAAAATGCTAGATCTATAAGCAAACCTGTGGTTTTAAGTCCCGGTGTATTAAGTTATTTTCACGTAGAACTTTTAAACCTGATGCTGTATCATGGATGTGAAAATCAAAATTACATTGTTGAAAATGATAAAATTAGCAAAATCAAAATAAACAAAAATGGTGCTCCTTAATACCTAGCTGCTGCATAAAATGTTTTGCTGTTGCTTCTGGAATCTTCCCATTACGTTGTTGAATGTACATAGAAAGATCACCCCCTCGACAGTACTCCAACACTATATAAACCTTTCCTGAATCCTATATTTCCCCAACATGTGCATAATAATTAACACAAACAGATATTTGAGACCAAATGGATGGTTAGGTGACAATAAATTATACTACGTAAATTATTAATGGAAATAAAATACTGTTAAAACAAACCTCGATTTAAAACCATAAATATGTCATTTCATCCTGACAAGTAATGCACAGACAAATAGTTCCGAAACAACAAGGTGATGCGTGCTACAATATAATATTATGGAAAGATAAAAGACCAATCAAGTAGAAGATGGAGGAGTGATAGCTTGGTTGATTTTATTCTGATTTCATTTTAATGCCTTCTAGTCACATTACACGAATTGAAATATTGTTGTTGTGATTTTAATGCCTTCAATTCTTAGTCCATTTTAGAAAGCATTTTGCTAGGATTTCCTTTTATTTAGGCACTTACTTGCATGTAATCCCTAATATAAAAGGGAGCTTTGTATTTTCAGGTGAATGAAAAAAAGAGCTTTGCTATGCTAATAGAATCGAAGAATGAATTAAAAAAGGAAATCAAGGAGAAGGGAAACTCTCCAAATTCCAATGTGAAGGAAAAATCCCTAAAAATACACCACCACTTTCCGTTTATCATTTTAATCCATTCCCGTGAGACAAAGAATACTGGAGCAAAACATTTTGGTTCCATTGCGGCTGTCATAGGAAATTTCAGTATTTCACACTTCCCACTTATCATTAAACACTCATTTTAAAGACGCAGAAGGAGCTGCAAGAGTTGACAAGCCAAGAGACCTTCACAAGCCAAGGTGTAAGTAGCACTGCAGCCATTAAAGGAGTCAGTTGAGACACTTTATAACCAGCTTGACCACCCCCAATCAATGGAATCGTCAGCAGCCGTAGAAGCACTGACTTTAGTAGACACTTCATCTGCCAAAGCTCCCCCTCACACTGCAACTTCTAGTTTTTACACTGTCTGCAACACCGACGTTGGAGACTGCACCTACTCAAAGAACTTCTCAAAACAAACTATTTGGACTATTTCATATCCATTTTGGTCCACCAGAACCGTCCCACTTTACCATTGTCTTCAAAGGGATATTTTAATACATGTTGATCACCCTTCACTCTAGTCTACCAATAAGCCAAACTATCAATCTCCTTCAAGATATCATTCAGCGACAAGTTCAAGTTTTCAAGCTTGAGGGCAAGCTTGATTTTACAGGAGGGGTGTAATGATGCATGCTATATTGTAAGATAGTGGAAAGAAAAATTATAAAGTAGCGAATTGAGGAAAGTGATAGCTGATTGGTTTGCTTGATTGATTTTACTTTGATATGGTTTTGATACCTTAATTCACTTATATATTTTACGAAGTGATTTTATAGGATTTCCCTTTCATTGTTTTAGGCATTCATATGCATGTAATCCCTATTGTAAAAGGGAGCCTTCCAATGCTAATAAAATATCCAAACTAGTATTAAGAAGAATCTAAGGAGAACGAAAACTCCCTAAAATTCCATGACCCCTCTGGTTTATCCTTTTAACTCACTCGGTCACTCCCATGACACTTTGAATCCCGGTACATATCACAAGCAAGCTCTGCTATGAACAAGGGCATTGTTATTTAACAATGTCCATTTCAACTCCAGAAAAAGTACGTTTTTTCCGATGTGGGAAGCAAAAAAATTATACCAACTATATTAACTCATTTAGCTGTCAATAGAGCCGATAAATATTCTATAACACATCGCCTCCCACATGGCATTAGGTCTTGTTGGTTTTCAATGAAGATCGCATGCCCCGTGGAAAAATCTAACTGCAAATTTGTCATTTTATCAATGTATGCACATTACTATTTAACAATGTGAATTTCAAATATTCATCGGATTCCTTTACTACTACAGAATAAACGAATTCGAGCAATTCTTATGGAAGACCAGTCAACTACCATAAAAGCTTAATAACTGATACTCTCAAGTTCCAACTGCAGACAAGTCGTTTACTTTATTTCATCAACTATTTTTGCTTGGTTCTGTTTAGAAAAAGAACTACCAAGATATTCACATACATATGCTTTCTCTATATACTACTAGCATAAATCTATGCTCGTGGACTATGCTCCCAATCGGTTTGCGTTTATGAATGCCAAGCCCATTCGATATGGTTCACAACCTTTCCGTTATGTTTACCTTAGGAACCACTACAATCTCCGGAAACACACAAAATTCCAAAAATGCGGGCTTTTACAAAGTAAGAAAAAGAAATTCAAGGGAACTAGATCTCGAGTACCTGTATCATGTCATGCAAGTGGATAATGTTAGGATGATTGATCTTCTGGAGAATCACAATCTCGGACATGAGGCTCTCTTTGAGTTTGGAGTTGAGACGAGCTGTGACAATCTCCTTGATGGCCACCTCGGTGCCATGGACTCGATGCCGCGCGTGCCACACCGTCGAGTACGACCCTGTCCCTATCTGCTTCCCCACCAAATACTCCCCCACCGTGAACCTCCCAGTTCCACCTACTCTGCCGCCGACGCCCATCGATTGAGCCATCCGATCAAAGTCCAAACCCTAAGAGTTCTGAGCAATGCAACACGACCTTATCCGAGATTGAGTCTCTTATTTAGCTAAGATGAAGGAACACGAAACGAAGTTGTCTTGCTACTGCAACTTTGATTATCTGCTGGATGAGCTGTACGTATATGGAGAACTGATTAGGATTGGATTTAATGAGAGTTTGACGAAGGTGCTTAATAAAGGTTAAATGATTGACATCAGAGAATAAATGCAATTTAATCCAATAATAATTATTGAGAGCTTTTGGATTACTGCTAATCTGCTATGGCGGGTCGCTTTATAGGCAGAGGATAGACTTGGGGAAAGTGGTACATTGCGACTGAACCTGTACAAAAAGGGCCGGCACGTTCGGGTCGCCCAACCCGCCGTGACTGGACCTGTACATTGGCCATATTTACGGATTTACCTATCGGGTCATGCCCAACCCGCAGTTTTCTTCAAGAATTCATTTGAATGTCTTCCTGAATAAAGTTTTAGATAAAATTTGGTATTCATAAACTAGACTTAATGAATAATATGCTCAAAAAATTTGATCAAAATAATTCCACCAGGAATCGCCCCAAATGGCGATGGCCGGATAGAGTCTCCCATATAAGGACTTATTTGACTTTTTATGTAAGTTCGAGGACCTATCTGACGTTTTTCCCTTTTCTTTTTGGGTCGTCTCAAAAAAATCTTCACACTTAGAATTTTTGAACAATTTATGTGGCTTACATTCATTCTACTTTTTTTTTACACAACTACAATCATACATTTCTACTTTACTTTCACCCCCTTAATATGTGAGCCAAGTCAATGTGGAAAGAACTTTATGGGATGGAGGGAGTATACATACATGTGCGGGTTTAGGATAGTGCGTAGGCCCATTTGGACCGATGACAAAAAAGTTTCACTTTTTCACATACTTTCTCTCTCATACTTTCCCACAAAAAAGTCAATACCCTTGACTGGGGTTAGTTTCGGACATGTGACATCCTCCTTGAGAACTGGGAGTATCACAGTAATGTCATTAAATCACAAAGTTCTTGAAAAAAAACTCTTCCGGAGTACAAAATTAAACGCACATGAGATTCAAACCACAAGTAACATCCAATAATAACTACACGAGTATAATACACAGACACACATATAGGGGTAGCTCATATCAAGTCGGGATGGCAGGATTCATCATCCAGACAAGGTCATTTAGATTCTTTCCCAGTGGAATTGTTTGATAATTTTTTTTAAGCAAACTCTTCATCAAGTGCAATTTATTCCCACCAAATGTCGACTAAAAATTCAACTGGGAAGTCAGTCAAGTGTGAAATTGAAAATGTAAGGAATAATTGTATTTAGATTTTGATGATGCTATGATAGATTAGAATTTTAAAGTACCCCTTATAGAAATTTTGTATTAGAATTTTTCATTGTAAGTATTAGCAGTCTACGGGCCAGAGATCCTCTTGGTACTTCTGATTAGAGTTGACAGGAGAACTGCTCCATAAGAGTTGCTCCTCAGAGAAGCATCAGAGCTGCTATGAGAACTGCTCCATGAGAAGTGCTAGCAGAGTTGCTCCTATAACTAGCTATGAGAGTTGGCTGCAGAGCTGCTGTTCAGAGGAATCATCAGAGTTGCTACCAGAGCTGCCCTCAAATAGTTATCAGAGAACCATCAGAGCCCGACTTGAGAACTGCTAATCAGAGATTCTCATCAGACATCAAACACTTAGAAGATTTCGATGCTACCTTTCAACGGCTGTATTACTAACGGGAAATTTCCTAACGGCTAGAAGATATTTCATCAAAGGAAAGCATTTAATGAGCCTGATACGCTGTGGAGTAATTGCAGGTGATTGGCCGAGATTCCTGGAGAATATTATACAAAAATAGAAACCTGCCAAATATGCGGGTCCAACCGGTCAACTCCACAGTACGCACATTCAATGCAGTTGTCTCCTCCTCCAACGTGTAGACAACCCCAATATAAAAGATACTCGAGGAAGAACAATGGGACAACTTTTGCTCTCGAAATATTCAAACAAGCTCTCTTGAGATTCAAACTCCATATTCATTCTACAAGACAAAGCTTACGTTGGGAAGATTAAACTACTCAAATTCTTCAACCCCAACAAAGAGCAAAGTTCCTCCAGTTCTTCAACACTTCAAGAACTTCATCAAAAAATCTTTTGTGACGAAACCAGTTGGAGAAAAACTCTGTTTTTCAAACATCTTCTGCAAAGAAGGACGTCCAATTAACTGCAGTAGTGAAGTGGTGATACTTCCGGGAAGCTCAGTGGAAGGACCAGCCATCAGGAAGCAGGACTGCATCCCGGGTGGCAACTAGACTTGAAGAAGACGTGGAGAGCTTCTTAAGTTATAGGGACTAAGGTATTGTAACTGTCGTTTTACAAGCTTAGTGGAACAGTGGACTAGAGGAACACGTTGTTCCTTGAACCACTATAAAAATCCCCGGTGTCATTTACTTTGCTACATTTAATTTCTGCACTTAGGACTCTAACTGTATAACTCTTAAAAACTTGGAATCTGTGTTCAGCAGATCTTGTGTTAAGAGCTATCAGAAAGGCATTTGCCTTAGTGATTTCTTGAGGCTACCCAGACAGAACTCATATCCGCTGCCTGGTCCAGTTCTGCCATCAGAACTCAACCATCTCTGTCATCAGATTTGGACCACCTCTCATAAGTCAAGTTTTGACTTAGAGAAAAATCTGAAAAATCAGAACAGTCTATTCACCCCCCCCTCTAGACTATTCCCCACTCAATCGGGACCAACAGAAAAACACTGCGCTGCTTGTATATATAAAACATAGTTTTTTAAGTAATTTATTTAACTGTCTTTCCCACTTAATTTTAAGCTGAAATAATTTGTCGGGTATAAACTAAACTTGATGAAGAACATGTCTAAAACATTTCATAAAATATTACATCGGGAAGGACCCCAAATGGCTTTGGCCGGACAGCGGGTCTTGTCAACCTGGCCTTACTAGATCGCTACTCTCTCTCTCTCTCTCTCTATATATATATATATATATATATATATATAGAGAGAGAGAGAGAGAGAGAGAGAAAGAGAGAGAGAGAGCTATTCCTGTCCGGAATTTCCTGACAGGAGCCCCGTCGGGCCTCCTCCATTTGGGGGCCTTCCCGGTGGTATTTTTTGCTCAAATGTTTTGTATATGTTCCTCATCAAGTCTAGTTCATCCATACCAAATTTGAGAAAAAAATTCAATCGAGAAGGTCGTCAAATGATATTTGCAAGTTAACTGGTCCGGAAAGTACATATTCCGGACCAGTTAACTTGCAAAAATCATTTGACAACCTTCCCGGTTGAAGTTGTTGCTCAAATTTGGTATGGATGAACTAGACTTGATGAGGAACATACACACAATATTTGAGCAAAACATACCATCAGAAAGGCCCCCAAAAGAAGGAGGCCGGAAGGGGCACCGGTCAGGAAATTCTTGACCGGAATATATATATATATATATATATATATATATATATATATATATATATATATATATATATATATATATATATATATATATATATATATATATATATATATATATATAGGGAAGAGTTCAAATAAAAAGACCTCTTCCCGTGCAAAGTGCGAAGATATGCACTTTTTCATGTTTCGCTTTCACTTTTTCGTGTTTTTGTTGCACTTTTTCGTGGTGGCGGAATAATGCAAAATATTTACAAAATTGTCACCGCGATTTTGGCCGAATTTTGTGCATTTTTGGCTCATTTTGATCCATTAGATATGGAAATGAATGCACAAGATTCATTTTCACTTTGCATGAGAATATTTAGAGTGATGATGAGTATTGAGTTAATATTCAGAGTGATGACCTGTATTACAATTCTTAGGCCTCTTTCATTTGAGTTGCTTTCGAGTCAATTTTTTAATGAAATTTTGGATGTTTTTACTTGGACTATAATTTGTTGGTCTGGTCTGATCTGATCTGGTTTGGTTTGGTCTGAACTGGTAAAACTTGGTAATGTCCGGTCTATCCAGTTAACTTGGTGCGGCGATTAGCATGGTCTTGTCTGGTTTCTTTGTATTTTTATAACTATCCAAGTCTGGTATGGTCTGGTCTAGTCTGGGACAGATTACAGTCCAAGTAAAAACATCCTTTGTGAGCATGTTATCCATGAAGTGTGTAGGTCATGTCCACCAAATTTTAGAATAAAATTCAATTAGGAAGTTAGTTAAATAAATTATTGAAACAAACAACTATTTTGAGCGGTCGTCTCTCTTGAATAGGGGTTTCAAGGTTTGTCGTCTTGTGTGCAGCAATAGGTTTAGCCGTCCCTTGGTGCGGCGATTAGCTTAGCAGAGAAGGAAAATGTTCGTAGGAGCATTGCTAGTCGTGTTGTGGCGGCCGATGGAGGAGTTGTGGGAGTCAAGGGAGGGAGAAAGGGAGGCGTCCAGAGGGGTTGAAATTGCAGGGTTCTGTAGCAGCGGGATTCCAACAGAAATTTCTCTGTGGAAGGGTTTGATGCTGCCTCTTTGGTTGAAGAGTTTTAGCACGTCTTAATTTTATGCATTTTTGGATTAATTGTATTGTAGTGATATTTGGTTAATACATTTTAAAAATAATTTTGTATGAATTTCTAGAATGAATATTTAAACACATCCCAATATTATTATTTTGTGAAATTATGAAGTTTTGATAGTTATATTCTTATATGAAAGATATTCGAAAAAAAAAAAACTAAAAAGAGTTGTATGTTTCAAGCCAAGTTTTCCTCATTTTCAAAGTTCTGATTGCCTAGATCGATTTCTAGACAAGTTGCCTATTTTCTCAGGTGGGTTAAGTTTTTAAACTTAGGTAATTGATAGACATTACTAATTTAAATGAGAACTAAATATATAATCTCAAATTTAGGTATAAAGTGTATTTATTCAATTTTATTTAATCCAGACTTTTGAACACATTAGTGTAACATAAAACTCAACACAGAGTACAAACTACACATAAGACACTATAAAAGTAGCATTCATTTGATTTTAGAGAAAAACAAAGCAGTACATAGCACATAATAGCTAGTAGACTAGTAGATATGGCTACATTATAGACTTCTTTATTGCTTGCATGAAGAGTACATATATAGGAATAATAAAAGCACTTGTGATTAGTTGTATAACAAAATTAAATGTAGAAGCTCTTATGTAGAATTGTTGTGCGTAGCTAGAGCCTAGAAATGGAAACCTCCAGCCGTGAAGCCTCCATCAACGTGAATAACTTGGCCAGTAATGTTCGAAGCAACCGGTAGGCATAGGAATGCCACCAATGGGGATATCTCATCAGCTTCTGCTAATGGCTTCAATGGAGTTCTCATCGTAAGTGAACCAATTATTGCTTGGATTGAAGGATCAATATCCTCCTGCAAAATCCAACTATTATTACTGTTATGTGATTTAATTATTTTAATTTAATACGACATCTATGGAGATTCCAAAATTTGAATGGTGTGTGGAATAAAAAAAGGAAAATTCTACAGTACCTCCAATGTATCATATATACCTTATCCATATAGTTCAATTAGAATATTGAAATTAGATAGTTCAAACATACATACATTTTGAAAAGGTGACAGTAGACCAAATCAAATGCATTGTATGTAAGGTGTTCTAGCTTTTTAATTGGGATAATATAGCATTCACCATAAGAAAAATAAAAATAATGTGGTTGAAGAGTGTGAAGAGAAGTGAGAGATAATTAGAACCACAAATGAATTATTTTAAAGTGAAAGTAGTAAAATTTTTGGAACAATCAAAACAAAAAAGTTGTCACTTCTAAGATTTCAAGGGAACCAATTGACCATGTAAGTCATCATTTGAATAACTAGAGGTGGACATATGGATCTTATCCCAATTCTCAACATAGGTTTTTAAGTAATCAAGGACAAGCTATTGCCCTATTCTTGTCCATTCTTGTCCCATTCAGTTCAGTTCAGAACGAGAAGACGCAAGATCACATAAAAAGAACTATTGGAAATAATCTCCATGGCATTTGAGATGTTGGGACAAAAATAATTATTGTATTATCATAATATTTATTCCTCACCATTTCTTATTCTGAGGTATATATTTGTATTTGATTGGAACAATGTACAATCATATGAGCAAGGACGAAGGAAGGGAGGGGTACGGTCATACTTGATTACGACTCAACCCAAATTTAAAAATGTTAAAGTATTAGTTTAAAAAATTATGTTAAAAGTTTTCTAACGACAAAAAATCTTTGTTCCAGTCCAATCGAATCTGGGGCTGTGACTCCACCACTACATATGCGCACCTACAGATTTTTATAATAAAATAACAATATACTTAATGCAAGAATTAAAAAAAAAGATAGATTTAAGGAAAAGGCCAATAAATCATTCTATTTCAAATCTACCACATACCCCTACACAAAAATATGCCATATATATTTACTTACTCATTGAAAATGACATATGAAACCAATATGACTTGAGATGACTTACTAAAATAGACTGCTTTTACTTGGACTGAAATTTGTTGACCAGTCTCGTCTGGTCTATTTAAGTTTGGTCTAAACTGGTCTGGTCTGGTCTGGTAAATGCATATCTGGTCTTTGTGTATTTTATAACTATGTAAGTCTAGCTTGTTTAAGTTTGCTCTGGTCTGAGGCCGAAAATAGTCCAAGTGAAAAATCTGTATAACAGGTAAAAATTAAAAATTGTTTTACTGTTTGACACTATATTGTTTTACTGTTTGACACCGGTTTGCACTGTTAAAGTATTTGTCCCACACCGGAAAGCTATAAAACAATAAAACACCATATAAGGCTTTGAACTACTACTCCTATCAGATTGACCTTTTAGGATGAAACCTTAGGTTTTAACATGTTATCATAGTCAATTCCGGTTGTGGTTTGACAGCTTGCTTAGCACTCCTGATTAAGGGTAGCTTGTTAAGGCTCTGTTTGACCTGTTTATTCATTCTCAGGGGGACATGTTAAAGCATTTGTCCCACACCGGAAAACTATAAAACAACTAAACACTATATAAGGCTTTGGGCTACTCCTCATATCTGGTTTGACCTTTTAGGATGGAACCCCGAGCCTTAACAATTTTTTATTATAAAATTTGATTCAAACTAGAAAGTGGGATTATTTAGCACTGTATTATTTTATTGTTTGACACTGTTTTGCACTGTTTTATTCCCCTTTATTTTTTTTTTTGTTAAAACATCTCTGCAAAAAGCCTATATCTTTTTTTTTTACTCATAGTTACACCGATGGCGACAGTGACATTGACAGTAATTGGCAGTGATATAATAAAATGGTAGTGACATAATAAAATAATAGTTTTACAATAAACCAATAGGGACTACAATTAGTAATATATAAAGAAAAACTCTTTAAAGAACTTGTAATTATGTTAATCTCATTCTTCTACACACACACACACACACACACATATATATATATATATATATACTAGATGAGTAGCGATCCTATCTGGCCAGCTTTGCCGTCTGGCCAAGACCATTTGGGGTCTTTCTAGGTGACATTTTTTTGATAAAAATCTGGGAACATGTTTTTCATCAAGTCTAGTTTATGCCCACCAAATTTGAGCATAAAATTCATTTGGGAAGATAGTCATATAAATTATTTACAAACACTGTAAATTATATATAAATATAAACAACACACTATTTTTCAATTCTACGTTTAATTAACTTTGCTATTGATTTTGTATCTGAAATTTGATGTGCATGAACCACAGATTTAATGAAAAACATATTCAAAACAATTCATCAAAAAATTCCACTAGAAATGACCTCAAATGGCTTTGACCTGGCGGTGGTACCCATCAGTCCAGCCTGTTATGAACTACTCTCTCCGTCCCTTATAACTTTGCCAACTTTCCTTTTTTGGATGTCCCATTAACTTTGCCACTTTCCCTTTTAAGTAAAGAATTTGTGGTTCCAGTTAATTCTCTCTCTTCTGCACAAACCTCAACCACACAGTTTTTACTTTATTAATCCCCGTGTCAGTTAAACTTGGCAAAGTTATTAGGGACGGAGGGAGTACCTTTTATACTAAATTAAGAGTACCCATCAGTCCAGCCTGTTATGAACTACCTTTTATACTAAATTAAGAGTAGCGTTACATACCGGGTTCATGGTTTTTGTCCTCACAGCCCACGGTGAGACAGAGTTGACTCGTATGCCATCTTTAGCCCATTCACAAGCCATATTCTTGGTCAATTGATTTATAGCGGCTGAAAATAACAATGATCCATGAAGATATAAAATACTACTGCACTCTTAATTTATTGAATGTATTCTAGTAAAATATCAAATTTAAATTTGAGTATATCTAATGCTCTTAAATTTGAGTGTTTAGGCATGTGAGCATTATATATCTGAGTACATATAAATATATGATGTTCTCAAATCTTTTGATTTTATTTTTAAAAAAAATCGATTTTGTATCACTTTTACTAATTCAAAATCAATTCATTATATGTTATTAATTGGTCAAAGAGAAACGTTGATAAATGTAAAAGTCAAGAGCCAGTTTGATAACACTGAAATTGACCGAATCGATTAATTATGTTGAAATTTATGAAGTTTTGACCAAATTGTCTAAAGGTTAATTGTTACAGATTATAATGTTCTCCTTTTGGATGTAAGACTATAATGTACAAGGCCGTTTGGTGACCCCGATTTCTAGCTTATCAGGCTTATCAGCCATTTTTTTTAATCAAACATGTAACTTTTAATTTTGCACGCTGAATTGTGTAATAATAAGAAAAAATAAGGTTGAAGTTACTTTTGTGGTTGTATTAGTTGAAGTTACTATAAATGATAATTTTAGCCGTTTGTCATATAACTTTTTCTTTATTTTATTAATATTTTTTTAATATAATTTTTTCATAAATCACCAGAATCAGCCAATGCAGGAGGCACTACATCAAGAACTTAATAAATTTCTGCGTAATCAGCCAATGCAACCGATTTGGGTATTACCAAACGGGCTCGTAAAATGTCATATGCAGTATATTACTCGTATAATTTACAAACCTTTAGAGGATCCATACATGGAGAGCGCAGGTAAGGCAGTGGTGCCAGCAAGAGAGGAGATGAATACAATGCTTGCGTCATTTCCAGAGGCTTTGAGGATTGGGTAACAAAGTTGGGTCAGGTGGTAAGGTGACTCAAAATTTGTTTGCATAATTTGTGAAAACTCATCATGATCATACTCATTTGCTTTTCTCATCTTAGTGATTGCAGCACAATTCACCTGATAAACATGCATAAACGCATTCATTATATACGGATGGGAGTATATATAATTAGGATTGTGTCCCGTTAAAATTGTCTCATCTTTTTTTAATTAATCTCACTATGATTCTCGCATACCGAATTTGCTAACATTTATGTGATTCTAAGTCATTATTAAGTTAATTTATTCTCAATTTGTTAATCCAATATCAATCACATAGACTTACTTTTCTTGGTAACCGTACCACCACATCTTTAAATCTTTTTGTATCAATGTTAGACCGGGGACCGAAGTAATATTACCTTTGATCCGTTCTAAAATAAGTGTAATTGTGCATATCTTTCTTTTCATGTTTACCAATGTACAACTTTGACTATTAAATTATATAATTTTCTATCAGTAAAAAATCAGATTTTGAAAACTTTTAACGAGACAAATTTAGCAATATTTTAAATATAATAATTTATTAATGCATTAATAAACACAACGTAGTCAAAATATAACAAGTGAACATGTTGCACTTAGGATGTTTTTACTTGGACTGAAATTCGCTACTATGGTTTGATTTGGTAAATGTCTGATCTCTGTGTATTTTATAACTATGGAAGTATTTGAATTGGTGGCCATATCAGTTAAACCTTTGAAATGTATAGTTAACCAAAGAAAATTAATTAACGCATAAATTATATGGGTTTTAAAACTGATACTCCCTCCGTATCAAATTAATTGACCCGTTTGCTTTTCACGCACTTTAAGACAATTACTGTAGACTTTATTAAAAGTAAGAGATTTTTGGTACTGTAGCGACACTGTAGCGGTACTGTAGCAATACTGTAGCTGCTTTTTGAGTGGGATTCTTTCCCAAAAGGGAAAGAGGTCAATTAAATTGATACACCAAAAAAGGAAAGTGAGTCAAGTAATTTGATAAGGAGGAAGTATACTTCAATGGATGACAATGTATATTGAGGGCATATTAAACCACTCGCAAGTCTCAAGTGGAAAATACGTACATTTCGGGACTTTTTTTTTCGTTTGAGCACTAGGGGTGAGCAAAAATACCGAACCGGCATGATACCGAACCGGACCGGTATGGTACCGGACCGATAAACGGGGTTTGAAACGGATCTCAAATTTTTTTGTACCAAACCGGACCGAACCGGTTCCAAACAATGCCATGACCGGTTCTCATAAAATGAGAACCGGTACCGGACCGAACCGGACCGAAGTATGGTTTATTAAATTGTACTACTATAGTTTAAAATATATTAATTACCTCATCCGTCCCAAATTGATTTGCAAAGCCAACATTTTTTTGTCAAAGTTCTTGATAATTAATACAATTTTTAATAATTAAAATTTACATATTTAGAAACCACATTAAAATCTCTCTAAAGTTGCAAAATCCAAATTAAAATATACGAAGTATGGAGTAGTTTTTTTGAAAGGTAAAGTTAGAATATAATTAAAAAGTGAAATTCTAATTAAGTGAATAAAAAGAAATTGTTTGACCAAAAAAAGATTGACTTTGCAAATCAATTTGGAACTAAGGTAGTATGATATATGAAAATTGATAAATTGTGTGGATTTTTGGAGGATGGCTAAACTTTAATATTTTCTTAAACACCTGAAAAAAGTGGCATTGTTTGGTATTGGTATGGCATGGTACCGTCCCGTTTGAAAATGGACCGTACCGAACGGGTTTGGGTCTAAGACCGAACCGTACCGAACCATTTCAATAGTAACGGTACGGGTACGGGTTCGGCCAAATATTGGACCGGACCGGACCGTGCCCACCCCTATTGAGCACTATCCCTTTAAAAAGAAGGATAATTCTATTCACAGCACTTGTTTTACTAAATACAGCCACATATTTTCCATAGTTCCGATTATATCCTTAATAATAATAACTTAATACAGCCTCATGTGTGCAACCCACCGTCTAACCTCAACCTTTTAGCTCTTGCAACCACCCATGAATTCTACTACTTCTCAAAATTTTACTTTTGTTTTCCGTTTTTGGCTTCTTTATTCCCACAGCTTCCCCAAGACATCAGTCAGGAATTCCATGGCTTATTTTCATCAGAAAGCAAAAAAAAAAAAGAATAATAATGAAATAAATATCTCCGAATTACCGTCTTCCGAACTCCGCTAGGCGCTAGCAATACCCGTGATTCCCAAATTGCTTAAGTTCAATCTTGCAACCAATTTCTTCCTTCTTCAGTGACTGATATACGTGTGAGAGTGAGTAACTTGCAAAGGGAGAAGGCAACTCCATCTAGTCAAGCGATTGGATTCGAGAACCAAAACTGCAGAATCAAGGGCGGAGATCGCAAGGGATAGATGCTGAGCTAGCGACTCTTCTTAGACTTCGAGTAGCCGACTATTCTAATGTTCTGTTTCAGAACTTCCGTTGTCTTTTTCCTCACTTCTTTGTCTTCTTCCTCAGCGGAAAATAGACGTGATTTGCCTACCGGAGTGTATTAAGTTTGGTATTGATAATAAGGACATAATAGGAATAATGAAAAACATGTATCTGTGTTTAGTAAAAAGAGGGCTGTGAATAGAATTACCCTAAAAAGAAGTCCAGGTAGGTGCTTATTCATAAAAGCGCCACGCATTACGAAAAATAATACGGAGTACAAGTAATTTTGAAACAGTATGCGGCGCTGAAAACAAGGGAAGGACGCACATAAAAAAATATTTTTTAAAATATACGCGGCGCTTTTATATATAAGCACCGCTTTTATATATAAGCGCCGCACTTTGATTAAGATGCTGTTTGACAACACTGTTTTTCGACTTATCAGCCAACTTTTTCACCAAACACTTAATTTTTGTTTCCGCGCGCTGAATTGTGTAATAAGCAGAAAAGTAAGGTTGGAGTTACTTTTCTGGCTGTATTGGGTAAAGTTACTGTAGATTGACCATTTTAACTATTTTTACATATAATGTTTTCTTTATTTTATTAATAACATATATTTTAAAAATGATTTTTTCTTAAATAAGCAGAATCAGCAAATGCAGCCACTTCAGCTAGAACTTCATAAATTTCAGCAGAATCAGCCAAAACAGCCGATTTTCGCGCTACCAAACGGGCTCTAAAATTTTATTTTTTGAATATATAATTTTGGGTTATAGGTGCTTAGTGAAATCATTAATTAAGTGCCACACGTGCTCATTTTTAAAAGCTTTTTCTAATTTAACGCCGCTAATATATATAATGTTGTGTCACAAATAAGTAAATTATTCCCACTAGTGAGTAGTGACCTCACACTTACAAAAAACTTGACTTTAATTTTGATTATTTCTTCAAGACTCTAAGAGCCCGTTTGGAGACCTCTTTTTTCGGCTTATCAGGCTTATCAGCCAGCTTTTTCACCAAACACGTAACTTTTACTTTTGTGTGCTGAATTGTGTAATAAGCAGAAAAAGTAAGGTTGGAGTTACTTTTCTGGCTGTATTGGCTGAAGTTACTGTAGAAGACTATTTTAGCTATTTTTACATGTAATTTTTTCTATAATTTATTAATAAAATATATTTTTAAAATATTTTTTTCTTGAATCAGCAGAATCAACCAAAACAGCCAATTCAGCCAAAATTTCATAAATTTCAGCAGAATCAGCCAAAACAGCCGATTTTCGTGCTACCAAACGGGCTCTAAATTTGAGGGAACACTTAACTGTTAATATGGTATCAAATCTCTCCAGTGTAAGTACACAAATACACGTATAAAGTGAATGACAAGTTATCTCCATATATATTCTTCTAAAATGTACCTAATGTGAAGACTAGCTGTTAATACATAAATAGTACAGTACTTACTAGGATGTCAAGCTTGCCATTGAAGTGGGAGGAGACAGTTTCAAACAACTCAACCCTTTGTTTTATGGAAGCCAAGTCACATACAGTCCCAGTAACTTTGAAGCCCTTTGCCTTGAAGTCTTCGAGCTTCTCGTAGAGCTCGGCCTCGTCGATGGCGCACGTGTGGACCGTCGCTCCGAATCCCGCCAATTCCTCAACTATTGCTGCCCTGAAATCAAATAAAAATGTATATATGCATCATACATGACATGCATGGATGCAGCTTCAAATTAATTAAACTAAAAGGGTGTATGTTTTAGGTTTATATAATTATGCATTATTTGATACTAAAGTAAAAAATTAACTCACCCAATGCCTCTGGATCCGCCGGTAACGAGGGCCGTCTTGCCTTTAAGAGACCATCTGGAGTTCATAGTGCACTCTTCTCTTTCTCTAGCCATATAAGATTGTGTGTAATTTTTATTTTGAATATAACAGTGAGTTAGAAATTAATTAATGAAGCCTGGATATTGAAACAAGGATAGTTGATATTTATAGGCCATTGATTTCTTACAAGGTTACGTACACCACATTAAATGGGTCCAAATTTTGTGTCAAAATTTTCATCACTCGTAGGCATGGTGGATATCTAATACAACGTGTTTTTTTTGAGAGATCTAATACGACGTGGTTAGTAAGTTAAAATCAATACTAATTAAAGTTTATTAAATTAAAGGGGAAAATGTAACAAAAAGAGTGAAATAAACACCGCATGCATGATGCATAAGTGACTATTGATCACTGATATATGGGAATAATTCTACCATATTGCAAGTCAAATAGCAATGTCTTACGGAGTTGTAAATTTCGGCATTTTTTTGTATATTTAATACATGTACGTGATCTGAATTTTTGATTTATTGAATATCGGAACTTTGTCTAACTTGTTGTGTACGTACAGTAATAAATGTGTATTCAATAAATATTTATTTAATGATTTCTGTATTTTTAATTTAGTGATGTAAAATACCGTAGTATGAATGTACAAAGTGGTCAGTATATATAGTACCAAGGTTTTAAATTGCGATTGCGGTCGCAGTTGCGGCCGTTGCAGTTGTGGCTAATGCGATTGTTGCGATTGTGGTTAATGCGGCCGCTGCAGCGTGAAATATTTTCAAATTCCCACTAGTAAAAAATACCATGTTTTTTTGTAATCTTTAACAAATCTTCTACTTTATAATTTTTTATTTAACAAAATTAGTTTATTTGAATTAATGGATGATAAAATTAATAGAAGCATTATGCATACTTCTTCTTTTTATAATGCATTATGAATACTTTTTTAAACACTTATATGTGAACAACGAATCAACCAAAAAGAATATGATGATTACAAGAGAATAATGATTAGAAAGATTGATAAACTACATGAATATTAGAAACACAATTATTAATTTTTTTAAGCTAAACAAGTCTTAAACAGATTTCTAAATTAAAAGATCGTTACATTAAATGATTATAATTGACACACTTCAACATGTACTAATTATAACATGATACAAATAGTTCCAATTGTTACATTGTCAAGAATGTAGATACATCTATCTCCGGTGTGGATTGTGGACTTTCCTTGAAAAAAATCAAAAAGTCAAATGAATTAATAAATCAACAACAACAATAATACTCCGTAGTAGTAGTAATAATAATAATAATAATAATAATAATAATAATAATAATAATAATAATAATAATAATAATAATAATAATAATAATAATGTTAAGAATAAATATAGTAAATTACATGATTCTTTGTACCACATGGTGGAATGTCGTGAGGGATCACAATCTCTAGTTTCATTGTGGCTATAATCAGCAGAATACCATTGATTGAAAACATAATCATAAAATCTACCACTTATTTGTTGATGATAAGAATCTTGATATGTTGATGGTTGATAATATGAAGAAGTTTGATCATTTGCGTATTGACCATAAGAGGATGAGACATTAGGATATTGATCAAATTAAATGGCACATAATACTGAGTACTACTATAAGATTCATCATTACCCGTACAACTGAAATTCGGTCCAATACTAGAATAAGATGAATCATCTAATAGAACATTATGATGCATGTTTCCTGTTCTCCTACTTGTCCCACTTCTAGTCATATTATCATCTCACACAATGAAATATCATCCTCGATAGTCATATAAGTCAAACTCCTATAACGTATGGATTGCACTCCGCCCGACTGAATCTCCTCTGCACTATTATCATCACCATCATTATTTTGTTCCCCAAATTCTCCATTACCACCATCAGCGCCACTATCACCGTTTGGTGTATCATGACCACCATCATTATCATTAGAGTCATCATTATCATGAGTCCATCAAAGGCAACATTCTGAATTTTGCACTTCGTCTAATAGAGGTTTTTCTTTCTCTTCAATTCATGGAGACAATGAATCATCTTCTTCAAAAAAATAGTCAAGATTAATCGGATTAAAATTTTAATTTCTTCAATTTCTTCTTGACTTTTCCTCTTCTAGCATCTCATTATATTTTCAGCTTCATATTGTAGTGGGTGAAGACTAATTTATGCAACTTTTTACATTTCAAACTATTCTTCGTCTTCGTGTGTATATAGCTAAATGTGCTCCAATTCCTCTCACTGTTTGTAGCTGGCGTCGTTTGGCTAAGAAGTTTCACGGTCACACGTATAAGTTCAGGAGCACAAACACCATATATCAACCGCCAATCAATTTTTTGAACTAAAAAATATTGATAAATGTATAAATTAAAAGTAAAAATTACCTAGATTCATTTTAGACCACGCTTTTTGAGCTTGTGGTATACCAAAGTTTTCACTCTGGTCTAAAATCATTAACTAACAAAGCGGAGGCAAGTGTGAGAGTCCCTTGACATGTAAAAAACTAAAACCACAAGTGTTGGTGTTAAATTGTTGTTGGGATCGGAGGATCATACTTAAAATAGATACTATTTAAAGCATTACAATAAAAATTTAATTAACTATCCGTTGGTGATTTAGAATGTTCAATCTTGGTGGATGAGGGAGTAAGTTGGTGGAGTCAAATTAATTCTTTCAAACGGAGCAGTGGGGTCTTTTAATCATCAATATAAATGTAAGCTCATAATTAAAACATATTACTCCATGACTCCTACCCCAAAAATTGTGTCATTTCAAAAAATTAGGATCATGATTTTTATTAGTATAATATTAGGAAAGTTATAAATGTTATACTTTTATAGAATTGCTTTTAACAAAAAAACATTTTTATATCTTTTTTATATTATAAAAAATATAAATCCATTAAGACGAGATATAAAGAAACATATATATGCACGTACTCCGTATTAAGACGAGTATATCTTATAAGTGCATATACGGAGTATAAGATATGGCTTATTTAATTTTTAATTCGTACATATTTAGTACTACGTACGTATTACATATAAGGGAAAAGGGGTGGTTCCCGGTGGAATTTTTGGTGAAATGTTTTGATCATTTTCTTTATTTAGTTTAGTTTACCCATACAAAATTTCAGCTAAAAATAAAACTGGGAAGAGAGTCAAATTATTTTCTGAAATATACTGCGTTGTTTAACTGTGCAGTTATCTTCAAAAATTCATTTGTCTGTCTTCCTGATTGAATTTTTATTTGATATTTGGAATGATCGAGTGAATTAGACTTAATGAAGAAGATGTTCAAAATATTTCATCAAAAAATTCTACCGGGAACCTCCTCAAAGGACGACGTCCGGACAGAACCTTCTATATAAGGGATGATTTGCATTTTTTGATTAATTCCATAACTTACTTGCCCCTTTTCGCTTACATATAATGAGGGTTTTAAGCAATTGTGGCTCATTTAAAAATGGACATACGATAGTATAATTTACGTCATGAATAAATGCATCTCAACAAACTTTAGTCGGTCAACAACTCATCAACTACACATATAAATGAGGGTGATTTCTTATTGTACGAGAATACATTGCATGGGCAGCCAAAAGGCCCAAAATATGGAACTTTTAATAGGTTTTCTTAAAACATGGATGGGAAACGTTTTTGTGGAATCCGAAGTGCGTAGGTTTTCATTTTTTTTTTTTTGAGAAAACATGCTACGTACGTACTACCTTTTTCCTACACATTAGATTTGTATGCAAAGATCATTTTTTGTAGTCTAAATTTTTTCCCAACAAAATTAATTTGTGGCCATATTTGTGGGGCAAAGCTTGAAAGGAAAGAACTTAGCCCACAAATATTTAAACTTTGTATGGTCAAATTTAAGAAGACAAATTTTAAGCATACAAACTAAATTTGTAGGCTTAACTCTTTTGTCACAAATATGTATTCATGGAGACACATTATTTTTTCAGACAAAGATTATTTATAGAGAAAGCTGAGAGCATACAAATACTACCCACAAACAAACAAAACAATATGCATGTTTGTAGACTAATCAACACTCGTGCAACCATACAGTTATCTTTATCAATCGTAATTCAAAGCCAGATTTGTACTCCCAAAAACTTGAATATAAGCAAAATAAGAGATACACGTATGTTGCTAACAAATTCAAAAAGAGCAACAATAGCTGAATGGTATATTAATTAGATACTATTACATTGACATAATTATAGGAAAAACACTAAGAATATTGGTTGAACTACAAGTTTTTATAACTCCTAAAACATGTACTCCTCGATCTCCATGGCTCTTCATCAAGATGATCAATTCATCTAACGTCAAGTGTGTGAAGCCCCGAAAGCCATGATGTATTGGAACTGTACTGGAACTGCCGGTCCAAACCATTCAATTTTTGGGTAACATAATCTTTGCTCTATCTCTGGTCCCCATTCTTTCACTACTTGAGCCATTTTGTTTTTCCTTTGCCTTGCATTATCTCCAGTAGTCCACTAGGTCTAGCCCCGTCTAATGCTTGCTTTGTCATCACTGTGTCTCAACTCAAGCCATGGCATATACTTTTCTAGTAGCAAAGTCATCTGCTAACTGATTCTCCATATGGGTACATAGATGGGTGTTGTGACTTGTGAGAGTTTACAAACTGAAGTACAAAATAGATGGGTAACTTTTAAAATGGTATACAAATTACAAAACATGTGAGATAACTTTAATGCTATACGCATTCATTATAGAATGTAAAGTTCATTACATAACTCACAAAGTAATACTCCGTAGGAAACACTCTATCATGCTTATCGAATACGGAGTATTATATAAATGAACAACTAAATTCAAATAGACCACTATATGTTAACATTTAAATGATGTCCTTATCATTATTTTTTAATAAAAAGTAATACAGAATAATTGGAAACCTCACTTCAAAAATTGAAAATACCTCAGATCACTCCAGCAAGTGTGAACAACTAAAATGAAGCTCAGAATTTTGCATAGCAACCAATCATGTTCAAGAATCATAAGTCCAAACATAATTGAGCAAAATCAACATTGCAAACTGGCCCTTCAACCTA